CATTTGTGCTAGTATCATACACAGCATGTGACCTATTTCATGAAGTGCGAACTGTTGGAGACGGATCGAATTGGACACATGACTGAATAACAGTAGGCCTACTGCTCATTATGTCCCTTATGTGGTAGTGTGCTACTTGCACATCACAGCCAATCGATGCTATTAAATTTAACTGTGAACTTTGGCGTGTGTATCATTGCTGTATATATTTGTTACTGAAATGTTGTATAAATAGGAACAATTTTAACTGTTTTATGTATAACCTTTCTATATTGTTTTGCTGTGTTGTACAGGTGATGTCGGACTTCAGAGGCTTATTTCGGAGAAGCTGTATAAAGAAATTTACGCACGTCTGCCCATCTTGTGTTCAGCGATTGAAAGATAGCCAAAACAAATTTCTCAGCGGTAAACATTACATTAAATGCAATATTAATTGATAGGGAATCAGTGTACAGCATGAATTGTGAGTCAAAAATTGTTTTATATATAATATCAAGAGTACATAATAGGAGACATTTTGTATATGTACTCTTCTTATGGGAAACACCATTCATCTTGGTCAATATACGCCTTTACTCATGTCAATACTCAATAGGGTGTCTATTATATTTTGAATTTGTTTTATTGTTTTATCTTGTTTTATTCGCCTGCCAGGAGTATCTCATTAATATTATATATATATATAACATGTAAATATTTACAGAATCCCAAGTTAAAGTTTGTGGCTGTGTGGCAAAGCTACATCGAAGAGCAGACAAACTGGCGTGACAGGGGAAGGGGGGAAGAAAACCAGACAGTTATTGAAGTAAAGAGGTAAGGCTACGATGACGACAGTTATTATTTTATGCCAGATTGGTTGCATATGTCACCCATTTTAATTTTAGGCAGATCGTTAGTGGACACAATACATTATGGGGGTACTGAGATTAAGGTACATGCAGTGGGAGAGGATGTCACTTTTCCTATGGGCCGCGTGAATCCGTCATCACGATGTATCACCTATGGTGAATGCCATAGATGGACTATATCATTCAATAATATAAAGGAAGTCCACTGGAAGTTGATAACGCACGCAAGTTCCTTTTAAGTGAATGAGCAGCCTCGAGTGTCCAGTCACACTGAATTCGGCACACGTCTATAGGAACTGCAAACTTGTACAAGCAGCTGGATGTCTCATACACGTCTCAACAGAAACTGCGAATAAACCGGCTGTGGCCCGTGACGCAGCTGCCAGAATCCACCAAACGATAAAGCTGAAATTAGTCAAGTGTACACAATGTGAGCGTGTTTACACGTACGCACGAAAACGATGTGTGAACATGAAAAAGTACATAGCACATGAAGACTAAAGTTGGTGATCTATAGTATGTTCTCATCAAATTTGAGAGATGAAAGTCCGTCCAAAGAGGAAAGGAAACGTACACTAGCCTATGACCAGACTCGGGTGACCAGATTCTCAGCCAAATTTGGAGACAATCAGTGTGACCGAAATAATTTAGTAGATGCGACGCGAACACAATGCTCTGCTCTTGTCGCACTGCGAGAGTGCCACACTCCCGTTGTTGGGGTTGCTTGAGCGAGAAGGAGAGGATGAGTGTGTCGGACGTAGAGATCTCATTTTTGGACTGATTGTCTCAAGAAAAGTGTCCTAGAACTGGTCACCCGAGGTTGCATTAGGGGGGGCGTGAAGAGCGGCGCTGAGAGTGGGAGTGGAGGGCCGGACGAGAGTGACGTTTCCTTAATCTTTGGACAGAATTTATCTGCAAATTTGATGAGAACATACTATAGAATCACAACTTAGTCATCCCATGTTTGCTATGGGACTTTGTCATGTTCCACATCGTTTCGTGCCGTGATGCCGCTGCTAACACCGCTCACGAGTGTGTACATTGACACCATTCGCTTGATTCGTTTTGGTGGATTCGGCGGCAGCTGGTCACGGGCCACAGCCAGGTTTATTCCCAGTTTGTTTGAACGGGATGAGACAATTCAGTGTTGTACAAGTTTGCAGTTCGCTCAAAGACGTGTGAGAATGTGTGACTGGACACTCGAGGCCAGCTATTATTAAAAGGGACTGAGTCGTTATCACCTTCCAGTGACTATGCCCGTTATATTATTTAGAATCGATATAGTCAATATAGGATTACATAGTGAACTGTGATGACGGGATTAGCCCAATAGGAAGGAGCCTGACGACAACAGCTCAGTCGTACCTAATAGTTACCCCATAATGTATGTGTCCACTGAACGTCTGCATAAAAGGAAAATGTGAACATATGATAAATCGAGCATAAAATTAAACTGCATGTAGAGACTTACCTCTTTACGTTCAATAAACTGTCTGCGGTTTTGGTTGCCCCTTTCCCCTGTCCAGTTTTGTCTGACTCTTCGATGTTACTTGACAACAGCCACCAAACTTTAACTTGCGGGGAATTCTGTAAATATCTTACAGATGTTATTATATATATATTAATATAAGATGATACTCCTGGCAGCCGCGAATAAAACAAGATACAAACAATAGAAAAACAAATTCAAAATATAATAGACACCCTATTGACACGAGTAAAGTCGTATATTGATCAAGATGAATGGGTGTTTCCCATAAGAGACATATATACAAAGTCTCCTATTATGTACTTACCTTGATATTAATATATATAAAACAATTTTGACTCACAATTCATGCTAGCTGTACACTGATTCCCTATCAATTAATATTGCATTTAATGTAATGTTTACCTCTGACAAATTTGTTTTGGCTATCTTTTCAATCGCTGAACACAAGATGGGTAGACGTGCGTAAACTTCTTTATACTGCTTCTCGGAAATAAGCCTCTTGAAGTCACGACTCAACCTGGACAACACAACAAAGAACAGGGAGTTATAGAAAGGTTATACATATAAAACAGATAAAATTGTTCCTTTTTATACATTTCAGTAACAAATATATACAGTAATGATACACACGCCAAAGTCCACAGTTAAATTTAATAGCATCGATCGGCTGTGACGTGCAAGTAGGGACACTACCACATAAGGACATAAATGAGCAGTAAGGCCTACTGAATTATTCAGTCACGTGTCCCATCGTCTCCAACAGCTCTTCACTTCAATGAAATAGGTCACACGCTGTGTATATACTAGCACAATGGACTGTATTGGGCGTGGACAGTTAGGTGTCGACAGGGGAATGAATAGCAGTCTGCTAATTAAGTACACTGTACATGCATTTTTTAAAAAATATATGGGATGTGGCGGGCAGTAGTATTAGAAAATATTGGTTTCTCGACTAGCCAACTGCAGACTAATACTGTAATATATACCCTCTTTGTAACAGGGTATCTTTTCCAAAAAACGGCGGGCTAACTGACCATCAGGCATTCCCCTTGTTCATGAATACCACTGGTTGTTCGCGAATGTTTCGCCGCAGGAGAGTCCTGTATGGTGCGCTAGGTCTTTTGGGTTTCTCCCACTCGGACTGCAGCCTCTTTCAGTGGGTCTGGTAATCTTCCTCGGAGAGGGTTGCCATCATGGTCAGGTGGCCTTCCGAATGATGTCCCGTTTCTTCCCAGGGTTGTGTCTTCACCTCTATTCTCGACTATTGGGTCTTCTTCTTATCCTTCCATCGCAAGCATGACGGGGCATTCGCTGGCTCAGATTGCTGGCTGAAGCAGACTCATGCAGGAGAGTATACAAATACGTCAGGTATATTAACAATGCAAGCCATACAAAATTGATGTAGAATATACAATTATTACGCTTCCTGTAGTTTCATCTCTAGATAACTGTTACTGAACTATTTTAGCCCATATCTTGTAAATGGGATGTACAGTTGACGCTTGATGTCAGTGTTGCGTCGACTATGCCCCAATAGCCGGATCTTGTGTTGATCTTGCATGCGCCGACCGCAAGTATCACCGTGACCTAGGCGGCTAACCGACGTGGTTGCACAGACCGAGTCACGTTTCGGTTGTCTGTGACGCAGTCCGCGACTGATATGGATCTGCGGACATCGACATGACAATTCAGTTTGTTATTTGCAGGCATGTGAAGATAGGATTATATTTTACGGCAAAGTCATTTTATTTGCTCAAGGACATTAGCAAACGTTACTATTGTTAAACACGGTTTACGAGCATCGGGATGAATGTAACGAACGAAGGGGATGTTGTCATCACAAAAGACTCGGTAAAAACGAGGTGCCAGACATCTAACTAGGGTGGGAAGTCGTTTGCTCGTGGCGACGATTGCGCGTGAATCGATCGAATACGATACTTGTGTCATGAACGCATATGCATCTGTCGACACCTAAACTACACCCATTTTTGTGCACGACGCTGCCATAACATTTGACCATGTGCAATGATCAAATGAGCGTGGGTGTTACAAGTAGCTTCATGTCCGGTAATTGAGAGTCAGCTAACGCTATTTCTGCAGTATGCGAATGGACGAGGAGCGTTGTTAATTACGACTACTAGTAAGATGACTTATCTATTGCCATATTGTCAAATGTCTGTTATACTACAGAAGAAATGTAATAAACGAGGAGGCGGGGAATCGCGATCCTTCCTCAATAGGGGGTGGGGGTCACCAGAATTCTACGCCTCAGTAGGCCTAGAGGGGGGCCGACGTTTTCTCACAGGCAGAGTGAGGTACCCTATTCTAACCCTACTCCCTAGCAATACCATTTCTTGGCGCTAGCTCCTACCCCTCACTCCCCATCAACTTCGCACTATTTCTCCACAACAGCACGATATAAATTCTCATAAAACTTCAATACATGCTTGGAGGAATACCAATTAGTTAATGCTAGCTCCTACGACCTACCCCTCACTCCCCATCAACTTCTCACAACAGCCACGATATATAATGGTCGCACAAAATCTTCAAATACATGGGGGAAATACCAATTAACTTGCACACAGGACACTTATGATCAATACCTGCGGTAGTCTGCTAGAAAAAATGGGCATCTTCATGCCCTGGAACGGTGAAATAGGTCGACAACTCGTAGATTCACGTACACATTGGTGTGTGTACAATGAAAGCTGTGCAGCGCCGAGACTTGCAGCATTGCCATAAATATCGCTAAAGTAACAAAGCATGTGTAATTATAAAAGAATGACATCAGCAGTTGGCTCACGCTCCATTCGATAAACAGAATGCACGCTGCCACCTCTGCCGTTGCACCGCCCTAGCCACATTGCTGCGCATTATTCTGGAACGCATTGTGTCTTGACATCGCGAGGGATTACGACGTAGACGCGATCGCATGACCCGTTGAAGCTCGACGTAGGGAGACCAAGTCACGTGACATCTGATTCTACCACGCGAAACGCAGATTGGAGAAAAAACTGAAACAAAAAGAATGAGCGGAGATGAGAGAGACTGCCTTTACGCATATCGTGCCGGAGAGAGGCACGATGGCAGCGAAACACAAATAAACATTACGTTTAATTTGCCGTTTGGTAGCTTACAATACCCTTACAACATAACATCTTCATACAAAGGAGAGAACTCAATGTGAAAGAGAGAGATATATATTAACGTCTTATAATCGTATAACGAGAGAAGATGGCATAACAGGAATATAGTAAGGTTTGTAGGGAGGATAAAATTTAATTTGTAAATGCACTAAGATTCGCGAGGAAAGGAGCGTAGAGAAACAGACAATAGAGTATGCCAATTATCTCACTTAGATAAAATGGACGCACAATAAACCTTACAACACACACAAACAGACACTGTACATTTCATGATATATGCTAAAGTTAGAAATGAGTTTGATTGGCAGTATTCAACAAGAACAATAAAGTATCCACGTGTCGGATAACTAGCATATTTATTCCAGTGTAATGTCCATTACCTGCAAATAAATTGTTCTTAGAACATACATAAACAGACGAGCTGAGCGCGTGAGAGAGAGAGAGAGCCGCCTGTGTTTTTAGCCGTGATAGTAAACAGCCGAGCACCAATATGTTATTAACAAGTAACGTTTAGGCGTGGATAAACGGACTATTGGCATACGAGGAGCAGTGTTTGATAGAGAAACTTCTAAACAGCTAAACATATAACTAAACATTTATAACTAGACAGAATCTGAGAACAGATATGAGACTACAACATATGAAGACGATTTTCGATCTAGAACCGTCTTGACTGTCGATTTATTTACAGTGGATACGAAAGTCGCGCGACCGATCAGTGGTCATCCAAGACTGGCAAGCAAATTCAAACAGCACAGACGTCGTTAGAGGGAGATGGGCGTTGCGGAGAGGGAACGAAACCGGGGAGAGAGACTGGAGCTGCACACGAATACAATCACGAATTCACACTAAATGTAAACAAGTTTACTTTGAGCTAAGTTAATCTATGCTGAGATACCCACGCCTAACCATTTGTAAATTGCGCATATTGCAGTCACAAAAAATAACTCTTTCTGGTGAGATAATTGCCGCGGATGACAAGCTGCTGATAACACGAACTAACAGTAAGCCAGGAGATATGCCTAATGCTACCGTGGTCATAGGTTTATATCACGCCAAGCAGTTGGTGACCTTACATGCAACGGTATTCGCTCCTATTCTTAAATGATGCGTAACTGATGGAATTTATCATATAAATCCTATGATTGATAGACAGATACTCCTCCCTATAATTACTACGGATGTAAGTGAATATCCTACAAAACGAGTGACAGGCCGGAAGTCATCTGCTTCTGTTCTCTCGAGAGTATTTTCGGTGTCAAACATGTCGCGACAGCACCGTTTCAGGCGTGCAGCTATAGGACTGAAGAACACGGCCAGAAATAAGCTTGCTATGCGGAGACGACTGTATTGGGCGTGGACAGTTAGGTGTCGACAGGGGAATGAATAGCAGTCTGCTAATTAAGTACACTGTACATGTATTTTAAAAATATATGGTGTGGCAGTAGTATTAGAAGAATATTTGGTCTCGACTACCAACTGAGACTAATACTTACATATATACCCTCTCTGTAACAGGGTATCTTTTCCAAAACGGCGGCTACTTGACCATCAGGCATCCCCTTGATGAATCCCTGGTTGTTCGGGAATGTTTCCCGCAGGAGAGTCCTGATGTGCGCTACGGTCTTGTTGGGTTTCTCCCACTCGGACTGCAGCTCTTTCAAGTGGGTCTGGTAATCTTCCTCGGAGAGGGTTGCATCATGGTCAGTGTGGCCTTCCCGAATGATGGCCCGTTTCTTCCCTGGTGGTGTTTCACTTTCATCCTCACTATTGGTCTTCTTCTTATCTTTCCATCGCACATGACGGATTCGCTGGCTCAGATTGCTGGTGAAGAGACTCTGCATATACAAATACTCATATATTAAAATGCAAGCCATACAAATTGATGTAGAATTATAAATTATTACGCTTCCTGTAGTTTATCTCTAGATAACTGTTACTGAACTATTTTAGCATATCTTGTAAATGGGATGTAGTGTTGGTCGACTATGCCCCAATAGCTGGGTCGTGTGTGAATCTTGCATGGCGACCGCAAGTATCACGTGACCTAGGCGGTAACCGAGTGGTTGACAGCCAGTCACGTTTGGTGTCTGCATCCCGGTGATATGGATCTGTCACTCACATTGACAATCATTTGTATTTCGGCAGTGAAATATATATTTTCGGCAAAGTCATTTTTATTTGCTCAAAACTAGCAAGTTACATTGTTAAACACGTTTACAGCATCTGTAACGAGCGAGTTGTCATCCACAAAAACTGTTTAACGATGCCAGACATCTACTAGGGGTGGGAGTCGTGGGACGATTCGCGTGAATCGATACGAATCACGATACTTGTGTCATGAATCGATATGCATCGCGACACCTAAACTACACCCATTTTTGTTCACACGTGCCATAAATTTGACCATGTGAATGATCAAATGAGTCGGTGTGTTACAAGTACTTATGTCCGTAATATAATCATTAACGCTTTTCTGCAGTATGCGATGTAATTACGACTATAGTAAATGACTTATTATTGGTAAAATGTCTGTTTCTAACGGAAGAAATGTAATAAACAGGGGCGGATCCAGGATTTCTCAATAGGGGGTGGGGGGTCACAGATTCTACGCTCAGTAGGGGGTGTTTGAGTAGGGCCCGAAGTTTTCCGCGAAACGGGAATCGGGGAACGGGAGGAGAAAGCGGAAAACTCTTGAAAAAAGATGTAAAAATTAACGGACTAGGAGCCTAGGACACACTGTGCGATTTTCTACGCTGGCCGCTTGTGATCGATAAATACGGTGCCGGGTCTGCGCGGTGTGCGAAGGTCGGGCGGGCGCACGTCTCACGGCAGCGTATTTCGCTCGCGATCCCACGATTCAACACATTCAACCGGTTTTTCATCTCTTGCATACAAATAAAAAAAATTAAGGCTTTTCTAAGCTTTTTGTGAAATTTAGAAAGCAGAAGAAAGCAGAATTTGTGATTTGTAAAGCAGAAGAAAGCAGAATTTGACATTTATAAAGCAGAAAACTTTCAGCCCTAGACCGTTTGAGACAGTCACACCATCCTGTCCGGATCACATATTTTACGCTCAGTGGGGGGGACAACATATGTACTATGTACTACCCTGCCAATAAGGGGGCTGGAAAGATGATTTCGGTACTTTTTAATGTATTTTTTTCCCTGGTCTCCCAATAGGGGGGGCCGGAGCCAGTTCGCCCCCCCTAAAGTTGTGTTGACAGAGCAATGTGTTCCACATTACAAATTTAACGTACCCATTCGTCATTTCCCTCACGCTTTAAACATGGATACTGGGAAATCATCTTTCTTCCGATTGCTGCGTACTCCTCTCTGCCTGATATTCCCGGGAAGAATTGTAAGTAGTAAGCAGCCGCCTCATCTACCATCAACCTCCAGACTGGGTTAGGATCCCGTTCCTCTAAACACTTTTGCACTCGAGAAGAAAACGGTGGCAGTGGAGTTACCATGGTCACCCGACAACCTACAAATAACATGTAATATAATGTTTAATTTTTCGAACATGCACTAGCTCTGTAAGTCTTGCTGATACCTGTTAGGTCAAATATCGAAAATTTGTACTGTATGGGAAC